CCCTAAAGCCCAAAACCCAAAACCCTGAACCCTATTCCTTCCCGGGCGTAGATCTTCCGTCCACCAAAAAATCCTAAAGCTTTAAGGTTAAGGTTTGGGATAATGAAGGGGAGTTTAAGAGTTTAGGGTTTAGGGTTTAGGGTTGAGGGAGTTTAGGGCTTTTAGGGTCCAGTTTTTTTTGACACCTTTTCCAACTGCTTAGGGTCCAGGTTCTAAACTACACCATGCAGAGTAGGATGCTTGGCAATTTTTCGGTGGATACACAAGGCCTTGAATGGGGAACCCCTTGTTTCCAGAAATTAGGCGCTTACAACACACTCTGAAACCCAATTATCATAATTAGGTCCTGTACACTCCCGGAAAGCCTTAAAAGGGTCTAGGGCGATTTCTTCAAGCCGCAGTCTACAGTTGCCCTGTTTGGACCGTAGCGAAGCAGCCCGACAATGATTCCTGAAACCTGACATTACACCCTTAAAGGCAATAGAAGCGCGATTGGTGCGGGTCTTTGCACAAGCAATGGGAGAGAGAGGGGAGCATCTGGTACATACCCTGCCTTGGGTGCCCTTGTGGGCGAGGGCTAAACACACACCAGCGGTTCTTGAACAATCAGGGGTTCCGTATTCGTGTCCTCATGCAATTGACGCCAGTACTTGAGGTCTATCTTGGTGGTCTTTGGTCTCTCGAAACCCCTAAACCCTAAGCCCTAAACTCCCATGTCCTTCTCATACTTCTCGCCCTTCCAGTCCATGTAGGGGTGTATGTACTTGTCCTTGGCGTCGGCTCTGGGCTTCTGATTGCTTGGGACCCAAAGCCCCAAACCCCTAATTTAAAGGAAACTACAGGTGGGGAGTTTAGGGTATATAGGGCTTCTATAAAGCTTCCATAAGGCATATAGACCTTCTATAAGGCTCCTATAACGGTAACTACCCACCTGAAAATGTCCTAGCCCTAAACCCTAAATCCAAGTTCAGGGGCTTCGGATGTTAGATTCGGCGATCGAGCCAAGAGAGATTTGAGGGTGATCAGGGCTGGGGGGATAGTATAGGTGCCTTCATACTTAGAGTAGGGTATCGGGGTATATTGTACTGTGACTATTACCTTATGACCATGTAATACGGACTGCATGGGAATATTAATGCAAATATGTCAAACCTTTACAGACCCTAAACCCCAAACCCTAAACCCTAAACCCTAAACCCCAAACCCTAAACCCTAAACCCCAAACCCTAAACCCTAAACCCCAAACCCTAAACCCATGAAGCGTTGGCGGTTAAGATTCGGCCCAAGACTTCTTGCGGCCACTTCCGAAACTTCAGGTGCTGGCTCGGTTTAGAGCTTGACTTAGGGTTTAGGGTTCAGGGTTTAGGGTTAGAGTTCAGGGCTCAGGGTTTAGGGTTAGGGTTCAGGGTTTAGGGTTTAGGGTTTAGGGTTTAGGGTTTAGGGTTTAGGGTTTAGGGTTTAGTAGGGTTCAGGGTCTAGATTTCCACGCTGACGATGTATGTTCGACAAGAATAACCACGCACAAGAGCTCAACCGCAATGCAGGGATGTGAAGTCAGCCTCCCGCCACCAACGAACACTCCGCGAAGCGCCAATATCAAACCCTGAACCCAGAAGATCCAAAGAGAGCGGGCGATGCATGCACGCAGCCTGCCCAAATCATCATGGCAATAGTCCTAGGGTTTAGGGTTTAGGGATCATAGCAATAGTCCTCAACGTCATGCCCAAAAGCCACCGGATTCCGACTGCACGGCTCAGGCACCTCCATCGATAAGATTGCACCAGGAGCGCAGATTTCTGCAGCCAAGCAGCAGGAACGATGGACGCTTTGCCCTCGGCGACAGGAATCCCCCAACCCCCAAAACGGAAACCCTACTGAGTTCTGTAAACCGAAACCTTCTGAAACAAATTGTCAAAGCTCTTCTGCTGCAGACATCCCGAAACTGCAGACAGCCTAACCCGAAATCCTAGGGTTTAGGGTTTAGGGGTTTAGGGTTTAGGGTTCAGACTCTTCCAGTGATACCAGTCTTTCAATTCAAAGAGCAGCAGGGCTGCTCGGAAGGATCCTGTTTTCCACAAAAGAAACCAGACTTTCAGAACAACAAAGGACCCCCCCCAACATGGACCTCAGTGGCCTCAGCAGCCGGATCTCCTCTATACGAGCACCTCAAATAAGAGTAGCGTTGTGAACAAAAAGTACAGGAAACACAGTTGTAAACCGCCTAGATCCTCCCTCGTATTCCCAAAACCGAAACCTGGCCACGTGAGAATCAACAAGCAAACTCGAATGGCTTAGCCTGCCTCCTTGCAGGATACCGTCTTAGGGTTTCTAAGCATTGTATGGGGCTTTCTCAGGGTTGTGTCGGGCTTTACGGTGTTAAAGTTTAGGCCCGACGGTCCAAAACACAAATCCCTCAACCCCTGATTTGCAAGATCTCTCCCAAACCCTCCAGGTACCTACTATAGAGGGTACTAGAGCCCCTACGGCCCTATATAGTAGGTACCTGGAGGGTTAGGGTCTCCCTTCAGCCCGATCTGAAACCCGGGACCATCCTCAAACCTCGGAATCCAAGCAGCATCGAGTCGAACTCCTTAGGACCTTAAGAGAAAGAACCATACGGTTTAGGGTTTAGGGTTTAGGGTTTAGGGAAAATGTAGAAGAGACAGTCGAGGTCTAAGGGCGCAAGAAACCTCAGGGCTCAGAGGCTTGAAGGGCCTCAACCAGGATTTCTAGAGCGGCTTATCACTAGGGTTGGAGCCGAACCACTTACTATACTCCCGCACAAAGCGGGATGATAGAAATCAATAACCAAGATGTCTAGAACCTCTTAATCCCGCATCATGCCCCAAGCCAAAGAGCCGTCGTCATACTTTTGAGGTCGAAAGTCTGGATTGCCTCTGCAGAAGAAGCGAGTTAAGGATCCTGGATTGGGAGAAGCTGGCAAGCCGATTAGTGTAGGTAGGTAGGTAGGTAGGTAGTTAGGTAGGTAGGTAGGTAGGTAATTAGGTAGGTAGGTAGGTAGGTAGGTAGGTAGGTAGGTAGGTAGGTAGGTAGGCAGGTAGGCGTGTGAGCGTATGTATGTATGTATGTATGTATGTATGTATGTTTGTATGTATGTATGTATGTATGCAGGTATGTATGCAAGTATGTATGCACGGATGGATGGGTGGATGGATGCATGGATGGATATATGCATGTCATTATGTGTATATGTGAATTTAGTCATGGACTTATGTGTATACTAGACATTACAGTATGTATAAATCTAGACATAAACCTAGTAACTATGCTATTTATGTGGTTTGTTCTGTAGTTGTTTATTTTTCATTCAACTATATTTGTATTCACACATGTACACACACACACACGTATGTATGAACATAG